ATGCACAAGGATCAACCTTACATGTCAGTCTGAATCTATCTGGAGACTTGTAAGTTGAAGTTGAAGCTGTCGCAATCCACTTTGCACTTAATAACCTTGAGACTGACCAAAACATCACGGCTGACTAGATTTTCCGTTTGCCTTGCGCCCTTTTTCAGCAACATATTCATGCAATTCTGTGGTGATTTCAGTCAACAGAGAAAACTGCCTGCGCACGGCACAAGAATGCACAGTCTGCATGCATCAATTCTTATCTTGACTACCCAAAATTGTTACTCCTAAAGAAGTTGCTATGTGAGAACAATCATGGTAAAAGGTAAAACCCAAGCAGCAGGAAGGGATTACTGGCATAACTCCATGTATCAGCTAGATGGTTCAAGAATGTTCAAAGGAGTGCAGCATCATGTTTGCATCCCCAAAGTCCTACAGTCACGGGGCCCCAATTTCTTCCACCAGCTGCCACCATCCCAGCCCTGCAATGTCGCTATCCCAACAAGGCACGCCAGAAGGCCCAAGCAAGCCAGCACCGAGGAGCCTTGCCAAGTTGCAAAGGATTGCTCAGAATCACTCCCGAGAACTCTGGGGAGTTTTGAGAGAAAGTCCCTTGTAAACCCTGGCTGAAACTCTTGCCATGTCGCAACTCATCGATTCAAATATTCAAATATTCTATGTCAGCTCTCAGACTGTCACCGGCTCAAGGAAGCCATGTCTGCGGGCATGCTGGACCTGACAGAAATTGGCATCCAAAATGCAAAATCATTCGAAAAACACCGGGACATGACTGTACAGTACCCATCACAAATTGAATGTCAAACATGGACACCGGAGGGCAGGAGCAACATGGCAGTGCAGCACCCTTTGCAAGATTTTGCAAGACCATCTTGTGGCCTGGAAGGACGGTTCGGTCCTGGTGGTGCATTTGCTGCGGCACCTTCTGGCCTGAACAAATCACAACGTCAGCGTCCAAACTTTGAATCAGGTACCATCTGCAGCTGGCCTCCGCGGCTGAAGGTTGCTTGGACCTGCCAAGAGCAACTGACCAACGGAGAACCACAGAGACCAACGGAGAACCACAGAGACCAATGGAGACCAATGCAAAGCAATGCAAAGCAATGGAGAGCAACGGAGAGCAACGGAGAGCAACGGAGAGCAACGGAGAACAACGGAGAGCAAGAAGAACCCGACCCAAAGCTTGCCACTCAATGCTGACCTCGAAATTTCAGTTTTCCCAGGAACGATGATGCGGATCACATGGATTTTTAGAATTGCACACCACGCTTGATTTGGCATTTCTATGACCCAAAAGTAAAATGCGCCGGGCAAAATAAAAAGCTTTTGACAAATCAATCCAAGTTGCTGGGGCGGCTCAACTGGGCTTGCAACCGCGCTTTCCTTGTTTGTGGTCGAATGTGCTGGGCCTTTAACACCCCCAGTAATGCAGCCAATCAATGAAAAACAAGGATGGGAGCAGGTATAATGAGAAAGGCACCAAAGAAAATATCTCAAAACCCCATGATTGTTGAATGATATACAAGAGCAGCATCGCTCACATTCCTGACACAACTGCCACTCCGGGTCTGCTGCCGATCGAAAATGGCTAGCTTTGGCACCACTGGCGACGCGTTCTGCTTGGGCGCCTGTCTGGACTGCTTGAATCATGACACTTCTGGGTTGCTTGGGAAAACCTTCTATTGCCATATGAAACGTTCAGTCCTCAAAGCTAATACTTTGCACATCTTTGCACAGAGTCTTTTACCTTTGCAATTTTCGAAAATGATATTCTTCAAACTAATCTACCATGGATCCTGAAATTGAAAAGCACACCACACAATCGGTTGCATGCCTTTGGCCCAGCAGCTGCATCGCCAGAAGCCATGGTTTGCAGGTCCTATAGCCGGGGATAGCTGGGGCAAGCACCCCCTATCTTGAAGTCAAGTGATGCTGAAGAAAGCAATGCCAAATATCAAGAATCATGTTAATCAATGCTCACACCCAGATTCTGGCACACATGAAGCACACAGTTCAGACGCACCTCACTGAGTGGAGTGCTGGCCTGGTTGCTGAGCTTTGAATGGAGCGGGACGGCTTGTTCCAGAGAGACGGCAAGCACGTGAACTGGACGGGTTGTGCAATTATGCGTACATTCCATGTGGGTGACGAGTCAGTAGAACAAAGACTCTGTTTTCTCTGGGTCGGTACAACACAAAGTCCGTAACTTCTCAACAAGACCATGCACTGAGGCGTCCCGCCGATTCCACAAAGCTCCTGTGACATGGTTGCAACACACACACACAGCAGGATCTGCGCGGGTCTGTCAGTTTTAACATATGCTGTCGTGTCGAAGACTACACTACATGTTCATGCATTTTTCCCTCAAAAAGAATCTGCAAATATGAGTAAAGCAGACCACAGTCAAACAGATGCAAAGTCGTGCTCCGTATCTCAAAAACGCACTACGCCTGGATCTGCTTGACGGACCGCCTAACAGCAAAAATCAAGTCCAACAGCAAGCTGGGCTTGAAATATAGCCAAACCAAAGCAAGATGAAGAAATGTGAGGGGTAAGGACCGTGATGGCAAAGCAGATACAGCACAAACAGAATAGAGAACGTAGCGCAGCGGTGCCCGCCTTGCTTTGCACGTCGCTTACTGCTCTGCAAGGCCTTCCAAGTCAGGCAAACTCAGCCAGGTTGCGCTCAGGGAAGGCTCCTTTAGGTCCTATATGAATGTGAAATGTGCTGGGCCAGCAGCAGTAGGAAATCCGCCCGCACCGAAGGTGCTGGGGCGTGATCTTCCGGATGGCACTCGTAAAAGGTTACAGGTTTACCTGGGGGGGGGGGCATTTTTCGGCCAAAACCTCCTGTTTTTGATAGGTCGTGACGCTCGCCTTCAAAAAACACTGTAAAAAACAGTACGGAAGACACCTGTTCGTGAACGCGCCCGTCCAAAATCGGCAAGCGAAAAGTGAAAAAAAAACGTGTTTTTCAACTTTTTGACTTCAATTTTTTGGTTTGCAACATCTTTTTTTGCGGTTCCGCAGGTGGCCTGGCCCGGAGACACCTGTTCGTGAACGCGCCCGTCCAAAATCGGCAAGCTAAAAGTGAAAAAAAACCGTGTTTTTCAACTTTTTGACCTCAATTTTTTGGTTTGCAACATCTTTTTTTGCGGTTCCGCAGGTGGCCGGGCCCGGAGGCGGATTTTTGAGTTTTTGGACCCGTTTTCGGACTGATTTTCGTCGTTTTGTGATAGCAGAAACACTGGTTTTTAGTGTTTTTCTGTTTTCTGCATGCTTGACGGCTAGCTTCAAAACTTCCAAAAACCTCGTAAATTACGCTGTTTTATGTTACGGTGTGAATGAAAACATCGTAAATACCAGTGTTTTTTTTACGTTGGTTAAAAAAACACTGTAAATTACAGTGTTTTTGGCCACCTGACCCTCAAAAACCATGGTATTTGCAGTGGTTTCTGCTTCTCACCGCGCAAAAACACTGTAAATAACAGCAATTTCGCCGTTTTTTCATGTTTTTAGTTATTTTTTGAACTGCGTTGGTCCGCTATACATGGCCATCAAATTCTTCGCGGTTTTTTTTCCCGACAATCAGTACTTTCGGATGTTTTTGGTCTCAATGCCCCTGCTGTGTGAGCCCAACGATGCGGTGCGGGCGGTTGCCGTCGCGAAGCGACGTGAATAAAAATCAACATCAAGTGGAAGCTCAGACAACAAATGAGACATCATTAAGCACATGAGATGCAGGTGATTGTGGACTCACACCCCTATGCCTAGCTCCACTCGGGGAACTCGACCGGCGAAGTCCCAAACATACCAACCCAGTCAGCCAACCTGCTGTTCCTTCCACTCGGCAAACTCCCGGTGGCTCTGTTCGAGGGCCGCCTTTATTGCAAAAGCAATTGGCTACCAAGAAAGCACAATCAGTCAATGAGTCAACATCAATTTCCCACATGTCTAACAAGGCTGTCCAAGAACTTGCCAAATTCAGCTGTACATACTGTACAATTGCCGTTGCCCTGATCATCCCTGATCCATGGTGAAATCCCTCTTTTTGCCAAAACTTTTTGCCTCCAACTCCGATGCCCGCTTGTGCTCAAGAGCCGCCGCCTGTGAGATGAGGCTGCATGGCCGGGGTCCATGTAACATATTGCCACATCTCGTGTCACAGGCCTCTTCAGATGAAAGCAGCTCCTCCCGAAGTGCCTGGAGGCGGAGTCATGTTCGGCTTAGGCCGAAACAAGCAAGTGCAACGGTGTAACGAGATTAACTTTGACGTTGCTACAGCGTTCAATTTGGCAATGCACACCTCCAACTCTGCCTCAGCAGCTATGAGTTTCTTGGCCTCAGGCTGGTCTGAGCAAAATCCTTGAGACAGGATTCTACATCTTGACCCATGAAACTTAGAAGCGGACAAGGCTGTCTTGGCCATCCGGAACTCGAGGAGTCGTGGCACGGCTTTGTTGCTGCTCCTGACACCAAGCAAAGCAGGCCATTTGACGGGAGCTGTTCTGGCTGTTCTTCAACGGAATTGACTTCTGGACTCACTGGACTCCTCATAAGTTTCGAGCCGTCGACGTAGCTTGTCCTCCCGTACAGAAAAAGGTTCACAAAATGAGAATGGAATTAAAAAAAATGCTCGAACGTAGGCTCTCTCCCAGAAACTGCCGTCCACGGCAAAGTGTCACTCAGATGAATTCTACCAGAAACACTGGCAACACTTTTTAGACATCGCTGCGCGAAGCTCTCAGGTAGCCGGGAGTGAAACAACTTGTCACAGCTACAACTAAAGCACTTGTTGCTTGACTGCTGGTAGCAGTCATCTCCATTCCATCCATAGTCTGAGGCACCGCAGAGGGATGCTGAGAGGGTTTGCTGATATCGATGCCATGAAAAGCAAAGCTCTGGAAACTGACTGGAATGTAAGGCCTGTCACCGGAATTGTGTCAACCCTCGCGCCAATACACCATGGAGTTGATCTAAGTCGCAGACGCTCATGCAGTAGACTTGAAATCCATGTTGCTTGGTGGTGTGGGGAAGAAGCTCTGCGGTGCACCTGTTCAATAGGCTCGGAAGACATGGAAGAAAACTGGGACCCTGACATGAGTCTAATGATGTCTAGTGTCAAAAGCAGTACCTATTGAATCCATTTGAATCCCATCACTAGAGCATTCAGCTCAGAGCCTGGAGCCGCTGAATCTGGACTCTTTGCCTTGCTTGGCGTTTCTGACTCTGCTGCGTCTTGCTGCGGCTCTTGGGGAGCTGGCTCCTGCAAGGGACATTGCAAAGATACACATCACTCACAAACATACAGAAAGAATCAAAAATTCTCATAAATCATAAATGTAGAGATGTCCATGATTAGGCCAGTCATGCGGATCCTTGGCCACTTCAGATTTGAAGTTGCTGGCTGGCGTAGGGAAGAAGCTTTGTGGATTACCTTTCAGAAGGCGAAAGGTTCGGCTATGTTTGGCTGAGACATGCTCCACACATCCCCAAATTGGATCAGCTCAGGCTGCCTCCGCCTCCAGTACTGCGCGCACTCACAGCGCTGTGAGCGCTGCGAGCACTGCGAGCACTTCGTCCCGTTGCAGCACCTTCTGCATCTGCTGGGTGTGAAGCAGCGCCGTAGCTTCGAGAACCTTCTGACAGTAGCCTAGCAGTAAAGCTGTCGAGCATTAAAAGGGCAAGCCAAATACCTTGGCCATCCTTGGCCACGTGTAGAGTCATTGCATAGTGTGCTGACAGTACTCTCCTTATTTAGATTGCTTCTATGAGGCTTGGGAATGTATGCTACAATTGACCCGTCCCCTCTTTTCATATTCATCGATCAAGGCTTGACTCCCATTGGCCCACAGTGAGCTTCAGGACCAAGGAGCGAAGAGAACGGATTGTAACCAGGATTCAGCACAGGCACCTCGGAGTTCAAACCTTGCATTGGTAAGTTGGCAAGAGGGCACTTCTCCGGTTCCGAAGTTCTGAGGTCAAGGGCCATCAAAGGCTGAAATCATGGGAGCTTCAGTCTTGCAATGTTTGCAACCACCTGAAATGTGTTTTGTTGTTTTGGGGATTTCCCTAGTGGGTTCCCTACTTAGATAGTTTTGTGATGCTTTGAGGGCGTTTGCATCTTCACCGGGAAACTCTGCAACAGGAAGTGTTTCGGATGCTTTACGGATTCCATTGAATTCCCATATTTCAACGACGACCGCGAAGGCAGTCCACAGAACGGTGCGCACGTCACCTTCAAATCCTTCAAGAATATGTTTCATCTTAATGTCCATGGGCTCCGCTTCACATTGTACAAAGATGTACAAAGTGTACCAGGGGACGACTCCTTTTTGGGTCTGAGATGCTCGATGCAGACAGGTGTGGGCTGAGTCGTAGCATCGGAATGTCTTGGGTCGGATCGGGTCGAACCTGCACAACCCGTCCCGAGCATCCCGGCCGACCACCCCCACCATCCAAACCGTCCCAACCCGTCCCGACGGATCCATGAAGATTCCGATCTGATCTGATACATTTCTGATCTGGACTCACTGGACTGATTCTGATCCCTGAATATCCCTGACGCTCCGACTCGACAGATGGAAGCAACTATTTGGTAGACAACTTCTGAGCTAAGCACTGACTTCGAATCCATCTGCGACAAGCCCATGCTGGCCAGAAACTGCAACTTGTTGGCATACGCTGTTAAAGCCCTGAGCCAAACGCGGATGCAGTCAAGTGTGGCATCACATGCTTTGATGTTGAGCAGAGGAAAAGGAAGATCCCTATATGGACCCAAGGATTCCGCTACAGCAACAGTGTTTCCACAGTAAGCACCATGTTCGCTCTTACTATATCTTGCGTGTTTCGCTTCCGCTCACACTGTCAAGCCAAGGTGCACAGAGTTGTTTGGGATCTTGCTGATCTCTGCTGCAGCTGACCACACCACATACACCTACCACGTGACCATGTTCTGGCACTAGCAGCAGAGAACTCATCAGACTTTTTTTCTTTGGGTTACGCATACGACTGCGCTCACCAAGGTTAAGATCTGTGCTGCCCGGCCAGGTAGCATTGCACAAGACCGGCAACCATCATCCACATGAACACGAAGCTCTCCTGTGCAGCACCCCATTGGAAAAGAAAATAGTCCGATTGACAAGCCGCTGACCATTATGAGATTCACAAGAATACCAAGTGGACCAAGTCGATTTGACTCTTGGCATTCTTGGCAATGGTGTTTCCCTTTGCATCTTACACCACATCCAACCCCTCCGTGAAACCGCAAACGAAGGCAGGGCCCAATCGCTGAACTTCATCCTCAACCACGCTGCTGCAGACCTGCAACACAGCATTGCATTGGGGAATTCTTTACGAAGCCTCACATTGTTGGAGTCAAAGTTGTGACCAAAATCTGGATTGTGTTTCGGTCCCACATTGAATGTTGGGCATTGGTTGTGTTATACATTAGTTCATCATTGCTGATATTGCTGACCTTGCACCGTTTGTCTGAGTGTGAAAGCTCCGGTGCCTTTCCCGAGGCAAGCAGCCATGTGGGCACGGCAATGCCAAGTGGAAGGCTGAAGAGCAAATACCAAAAGAATGCCCTCACATTGCGAGGAAGTGTAGCAAGTTTTATATGAATGATTCACATGCTGCAGTGTGCAGAGAATAAGTCCGTACTGAAGCTCCGATCAAAATGCGAGTTGAAACAAAGATGCGAAAACTTAAAAGCACAATGAGTCTGTCTTCGTCTCGCCTTAGCAAGTGGTCAACATGGTAGAGCACTCCAACTCCAGCACATATCACCATCGGGATGCCGACCTTGCAAAATGAAAATCAAATTGAAAAGGGAGTCTACTGAGTCTACTACATTTCGTTCCAGCTCACAATCAGTGCCTGAAGCAGAAAATTGTAGGAAAGGTTGCTGAACCAGAAGGTCAATTGAAACACTTAGATACACTTAGTGTATGTTAGGGTCTTTTGATCGAAATTAGGCGAACAAGAAAGGAATTAAGAATTTGAAAAGACTTCACAGTCGGGGCAGTTGAAACAAACTAAGCTAAGGCACCAAGGCCCACGAGGCACAAAGAACTTGAACCGTTGGGGACACCTGCATTGCTTGTCATGCACCACTTGCGCCCTTGACGCTCATGGTGATTGATCTAAATGCTGTCATCCAGAAAAGGCTGCTCTTGGTGAAACAACATTTTTTGCGAAACTTTCGCAAACTCCAAGTTTATCCTTGGCCGACCCAAGGCAACAAAGTCTCTTATGAAGACTCTGTCTACCTGCCAGATTATCATAGGTTCATTCATGATGGCCTTGTAAACATGCAGCTAGCATCACATAACCCCTTCTCAAGACGGATTCTTACTTGCTGGTTCTACATTAACATGTGTACGGCTAATTGAGCCATCCCCTTCAAAATGCACTTTGGTTTCGCCCCCTCCTTCACCAATTGTTTACAAAAATAAAATATCCTTATAATTCCTTGTATATAAGCTTGTCTATGTGATTTACAAAGCTCTTATATAGTCCTATATTTTTATAATATAGCACAACGACACTGTGAATTAGTCGCACCTTGAGGCTCATCAAGGCCAGCGGCTCAGAGGATGAACATAGGGAAATGATCAAAATCCTAAGCTCTTCACTGGAAAGAATTCCGATCTTTCCACAATAACTAACAGTAACTAACATCTCACCCACAGCACTTGCAAGGCCAAGGTTCTGGGCAAGCAGAGTAATAAAACATGTGACCTTGTTTTTGCAAACCGAAACTTGGACAATGCTGGATCTTCATTATGACTTGAAAAAGCAGGCATGACCACAGGGGCTGACTGACAAGTGGAATGAGTCTGTTTTGCCTGGTCCTTCTGCCTTCTTTTTCTCGAGGGTGTTGGATGAGGTTTGGAAAAGCCAAGAGGCTTCCACTCCCAAGGTCAGGGTAAAGCATCCGAAGCAGCTGTGCCTAAGAGGTTGCCACCGAAAATCCCAGGTATCTTTGCTTCGAGGAAAATTCCCCCCTTTTCTTGGAGGAGATGCTTCCATAAGGAAACTGGTTTCAATGAGGAGGCGGGCATCCAGTCTTTCAAGGCTTGGCCCAAACCTCTTGAAGCCAAGTCACGCCGGTCGAACCTGCGACAACTGCTGCGCTATGTGAAAGCTAATGCAGGTCAGTAGGCTTGAACATGGTCAAGCATGCTACACCGGGATAGAAGTAAGAAAACACGATGTGAGTCTTCTACGCGAACTGCGACTGGGATTGCTGATATGGATGCCACGCCTTCCACATTTTGACTGCGTTGACAGCCTCCAACAAATGGTTTCAGAAGGCGTGATCCGAGACATGGCCAAAGCAAAGGAGCTCACTCATTGTGAGCCGAAACTTCAAAATCAATGCCATTCAAAGTGGAACGTGCCTCTGACTCCTTTGCAGAGGCCGTGGCGGAGTTGAGGGCATGGAACCCTCTGAGCCGAAAGACAGAACGAATATGTCATATCAGTCATATCATATGTCTGGTCTCATATGCACACGAATAGATCATGCGCAAAGATCATGCACAAACCTGCAAGTGCCGCAAGAGACGTCGACACTGTCGTGAAATTGTGTCCTCTGTAAGCTTTAGCCGCTGCTGATGCTCACGCAATTCTACTTCCTGGAGTTCAATGCGATGTCGCGCCTGCCATGAAACAGGGAATCAATGGACCCACTGCAGAGAGCCGAAAACCTGTGATAGATCTGGAGAATCCCTGTGATCTGGTTGGCCTCCTCCAGGTCTTGCTTTTGGCTTTTGATGGTCTCTCGGCCTGCATACAGTGCAATGTTGCGTTTGTTGGGACAAAATACTTGGGAGCTGCTCTTGAAATCTCGTTACAACCTACATCCTCTGCATATGCCTACCTAATATGTTTAACTTACATTTTTGTTCCTGCATCTGGTTCTAAATGATTGAGTGACTTGAAAGCAAGCGCAAGAGAACGGAAGGCTGGCAATGGGCATGCCGAAATGTGAGAAGGTTTGCCCGAAGAGTTGGGTTCATATTTTTCCACTTAGTTGCAATCGAAAACCAAATACCTCGTGGACGTGTGGTGGCATAATGCTGTCGCTTGGCTGAATGTTTCTGGCTCTGTGGTTTGGTACTTGCAATTGAGGGAAAAGTTTGCCATCATTGGTGGTTTCAAACTGCTTCAACCAAGTTTGGTTTGGTTGGGGCACTTTTGTGAGTCTTTGCACCTGGTGACGGCTTGTCAAGGGGCTGTCTGAACATGGGTGACACATGCTATGGCTGCAAGGAGTTCTACAATCAATGCTGGTTTCATCCGTTGCCCCATTACTCATCTTCTATGAAATTACCGACCTAGTTCGTGTCTCCCTCCATTTGGGTAGAGGACTCATATGCGCACATGAAAGTGATTCACCTGCGCACTGGATCCCAGACTCATCTGCGCACAGGAAACGAGACTCACACGCACAGGAAACAGACTCACCTGCGCACAGGACAGCACGTATGAGACTCTAACCTTTAGGTGTATAAATTAGGGGAACAGGGGGGGGGGAACAGCAGGGGAACAGAGGAACAGGGGGGAAAAGGGTAAAGGCATATAAGAGAAACAGCCCTTTAAGTGTATATAGATTGAGGGAACAGGGGGCAAACAGGGGAACCTGGGGGTAACAGGGGAACAGGGAGGAACAGATATCTGTACATAGATGTTCCACAGAAGGTTTTCATGTCTCAGCCGCTTCGAACCTGAAAGAAGAAAGGCACTTCCATTCCGCAAAAGCACCTAGTCGAAGTGATTGCACACTACACGCATGAAACAAGAGAACACATTAGACCCTGAAGGTGGCACAAATCTAAAACCAAAGGGATGTTGCTTATTGCAACAATTTTGAGAACGTTCGAAATGGTAGTCTTGAACATGATGCTGTTTATGATCGTGATGATGTTGATGCACGGGATGAATTTGATGCCTGTTATGATCATCACGATCATCCTGATCATTATGCTGATTCTGGTGATGCTAATGGCCATGAAAATCATGACCATGCCGGTGTTGATGATCATGTTGATGTCGGTGACCACGTTGATGTCGATGACCACGTTGATGATGGTGGTGGTTATGATCATGATTATGTCGGTGATGACAATGTTGATTCTTGTGATGTTGCTGGTTTTGGTGATGATAATGTTGATGATCATGATGG